TTAGAAACCAGCCTCTTAGTTAGAAAAATCCTTAAGAGTTGATATAGCAGCGAGTAACAGTGTCGTTCTCAAGATGTAATACTGATGGCATGTCCAGCAAATCACAGTAACTAACAAAAACATGCATTCAATTATTTAAATTAAAGAAAGGAATTAAAAAAAACGAAACATTTTAACAAATTGTATCATCATTCAAGGAAATTAATGAAAGTGACATAATATTCCTTAAAATAACTCAAAACTACACTGGAGAAAGTTGAAAGTAGAAAATTTTACCACCATAATGAAATGTTAAAATAGGAATAAGACACTTATGCTTCAAATATCTCTAGATGTGACGAAACTATGGCTCTGGAATTCTTCTGGTTCACAATCTACAAGAAACTCAGCATCTATAGTAGAATACGCAGAAGCATATTGAACAGTGCATGAAAATTACAATGAACAAATGCAACATTTTAAGAGAGGGAAGCTAAGGGGATAAGAGAGGGAAAGTTACAACTTCACACCTGAAGGGACTAGACACAAAAGCAATTCAAGTTCAGATCTGGTACTCTATTAGCTCTTCAAAACTTATATGCAAGTTATTATTCTCAACATGATACAGAGGTTATCAAAAACATGGATAGTCTTGATTGTTTATCTGATTACCCAAACTCTGATGGCCCTACCCAATTATCGCTAAGCTCTAAAAAAGAGTTCTATGGTGGAGAAGAGGAGGAAAAGGTCTGGGCTAAGAGTGAAGATATCAAGCAGGATGTCCATGATCCTCTAGAAGAAGTCCATTGTCCTAGGTTTACTTACGTAAGTAAGGAACTACCTAACAAGGATAAGTCATTAATGGTTGACATACTAAGTAAATACAAGGATTGTTTCGCATAGGAGCATCATGAAATGCCTGGTATAGATCCTTCTATTATCTAGCATAAGCTTCCCATCAAACCAGGTTATAATCCTATAGTCCAAAATTCAAGACATTTATCGCCAGAATTGATTCCAAAAATAAAGGAGAGATTGCCAAACTCTTGGAAGCATGATTTATACAACCCACCAAATATGCAGAGTGGATAGCCAACATTGTTCCTGTAATTAAAAAGAATGGCAATATCAGAATATGCATAGATTATAGAGACATTAACAAAGGATCAATACCCTATGGCTGTAGCAGATATGTTGATAGATGCGTCATCAAGACATGAGTTTGTATCAATGTTATGTAATACCCTAGAAATTCCTCCTTTTAAAATACACTTTTTACTCTAAATAAAACTCATTTTAGGAAATAACCAAAATATTACCGCCACCGTGATAACGGCTAAGGCTATTTTCAAAGTCACACAGCGGAAGTCTAAACTAAAAACCAACTTTTCAAAATAAAACTTGAGTTCACAACCTCAAAACATAAGTTAAGTAAAACATCCACAAATTGGATCCAATATGAATATAGCCCTTTAAAAACCAACTTAAAATAAAACATAACAATGTTAGTCCATAAATAATAATTCAACAATTTGATAAATAAAACTAAAAAGCATAACAAGTAACTCTCTGCACTCATCCCTTTCATGCTCTTCATGCTTCAAATACTTGTCACCTTCTCTTTATTTTAACCCCTCTACTTATCATATAAATGGGTCATAGTAGGGCCAATCCAAAGGAAATCCAAACACAAACACAAAAATACGAATCAACAAAAGCTGAGAACATATGCACCACACTAACATGAATATCCTAGCAATAATAAATAAAACATGTTCGCCACACAACTCACAAGTCAACTTACCTTTGGCTCATAACTAACAATATTAATTATTAATAAATAGATTTGGATTACGTATCGAATGGGTTTCCTTCCTTAAAAATATCCCATTTAAATATTGAGCCTCCAATTAGGGAGCTACCCCAATTGGCACCTACAATGTCACCTTGTGACAGAATTCCAGTGCATTAATAATAAAAGAAAGTACAGCATCTTGTACCCCTATAGAAGCTATGGTCAAATATAAAGTCACATAACTCCCCCCCCCCCCCATGTGTTCATACTCAAGGTGTATACGTTCCAAGAGTTTTGGTGAGTATCCTCTTACACTTTACGTGATTTACCAATTTAACTTGTGATGACTCCAGCCAATCAATCAAGAACCAACAAAATAACAATCAACACATACTTCCATTTCATTCTTGAATTAGTTAGTAAGCACATACTATTTATTTTGATTAAGGTTCCTTGCCTAGTTTTGTGCACAAAATTACACTATTATTACCTTGGTGCATAAGATGCACTAATAAACTTCTTTGTTGACTCAATCTCAACTTACATGAATGAGTAAACAATTAAACTAACTTCTTGACTCAACTCCAATAATAAATGGGTGAGAAATAAATTCATGAATCATACTCAATAAATTTAGCTTTTTTTTAAGCATACATAAGCAAGGCTTATTAAATTCATGCTTCCTTGACACTTGAAAATAAAACATACTTCCATGATTCATACATATTCAACTTGTATCATGCCTCAAATAACATGTTCACATGCTTGTATAATAATTCATGATCGACCAACATCAAATCCAAGCATATAATCAATCAAACATGCTACTAATCCATCACTACTTGAAACATATTTTACATTCCTAGCATGATACTACGCATACGTAAATAATACTACGCACATACGTACCTTGAATAGTGCCTAAACTCGATCACAGTCACTAGAAAACACCTAGCTCGAAGCTTCCTACAAATAAAAATACATAACTATAATTAATCCATTATTCTCACAAATTCCAGCAACTATAATATACCTTAAACCTCACTGATTAACCCAATATAATGGTTTAAAAGCCTTAAAACCTTTTCTTTAAGTGGGTACTTTAAATCCTTTCAAAAGGACTTAGTTTTCATGCCTTAAATAAAATTCCAGAATACTTAATTAATAGGAAACATCACTAATAGATTAAGAAATCATATTTAAATCATCAAGAACCTTTTTTTCCTTTTATGGGTGATCAAACCCTAACATAATAATTAAAAAGTAGTGTTTATAATTAAATTCTAGCATTAATTGAGGGCTTAAAACTCATTAAAAACATGGTCTTTAAGAATCACTGAAGATGATCGGTCAAAGACTGCATTTAGATGTCTAGGTTCTTTGGGACTCTATGAATATGTTGCAATGATATTTGGACTTAAGAATGCAGGGGCAACATATCAAAGAGCTATGAATCTCATATTTGATGAAATGATAGGTGATTTATGGAGGTTTACATTGATGACATATGTTTTGGTGAAATCCCATGACTTATCAAAGCATTTGGAACATCTCATTCTTGCTTTTGAAAGGACGAGGAAGATCAATCTAAAGATGAACCCTTAAATGTGCCTTTGGGGTTAAAGCCAACAGCTTTCTAGGGTTCCTAGTTCATAGAAATTCTATAGAGGTCGATCAGAACAAAGCCAAGGTTGTTCTTGAGGCATTACCTCCAACCAACAAAAAAGAATTATAGAAGTTCCTGGGACAAATTAACTATGTTCGAAGATTTATCACTAACTTGGCTGGAAAACCAAAAGTGTTTTCCCCTCTCCTTGAGCTTAAACAAGGAGAAGAGTTTAAATAGGAGCCAAAACACCAAGAAGCCTTCGAACAAATTAAAGAAGAAGCTGGCCACTCCAGCAGTATTAATTCCACCTAAGCAGAATAGAAAGCCATTAAGGTTATATCATTCAACAACAAAAGATGTTATTGCAAGTATGCTAACCCGGGAAAATAAGCAAGGTCATAAGCAGGCAATTTTCTACCTGAGTAGGATCTTACATAATACTGAAACAAGATATACCAATGCAGAGAAATGGTGTTTAAGTCTGTATGATGCTTCCATCAATCTTAATCATTATTTCATGGCTTTTCTAGTGGAGATTATTTCACCAATAGATGTACTCAAATACATGTTGAATCATCCTTTCATTAAAGGAATGTTATGCATATGGAGTATGCATCTGTCACAGTTTGAGCTGACCTATGTACCTCAAAATCCTGTCAAAGGGCAAGCGTTGGTAGATTTCTTGGCTAATCATCCACCTATGGAGAATGTGATGATCCAAGAAGAGAAACCATGGACTATGTTCTTTGATGAATCTAGCAGGAGGGAGTCAATTAGGGCTGAATAGTGATTTATTCACCTTCTGGTGTAGTGACAAAGATGACGATCACTTTCTCAACTCAATGCACAAATAATAGGGCAGAGTTCGAATCTTTGGCAATTGGATTGAGGACTCTCAAGGATATGGGTGTCACAAGAGTTAAGGTGCTAGGAGATTCTCAATGGGTGATAGGCCAAGTAAACAAAGAGTATAAGGGAATTTCACCCCTAACAATGACCTTTACATCTATTGTTCAAGAGTTAATCAACACTTTTGAATTTATTTAAATTAACCATATTCTAAGAGATGAAAATAAAGAGGCTGAATTTTTGGCACAACAAGCATCATTACTTGAATGTGAGGGTTTTAATGAATCAATTATTTATATATGCACATACAAGCTCAAGCCTTTGGATGAAAAGGTAAAGTTAGAGGTGCACAAGTGTAGTATCCTTGCATAAGATGTAGATTGGAGAAAGGAAATCAAAGAATATTAGAATAACCCTTCAAGAGGAAAAGTGCCAGCCAAAGTTAGATTCGCAGCTACGAAATACTTTCTCATGGGAAGTAAGTTGTATAGAACAGATCCTCAAGCCCTTTTACTAAGGTGTGTCAGCACAAAGAAAGTGTTAGCCATTTTTGCTAAAGTACATCACGGTATATGTGGGTCACATCAGACTGGGGTTAAGATGAGGTGGTTAAATCATTATATGAGTTTTTATTGGCCTTCTATTAAACAAGATTGTTTTTAGTATGCAAAAGGTTGCAAGCAATGCCATTGCTTTAGGCAAATAAGCAAGGCACCAACAATATAATTGCACCCTATAATCAAGCCTTGGCCTTTTAGAGGCTAGGAAATGGATGCAATTGAGCCTATCAAACCTCCTTCATCAGCTCACCATGAGTATATCCTGATAGCTTCAAATTACTTCACAAAGTGTATTGAAGTTCAGGCTCTTAAGAGTTTAAATGCGAGGGTAGTAATTCTATTCTTAGAAGACAAGATCTTTACAAGATATGGTATTCCTAAATCCATAACAATGGATCAAGCTACCATGTTTACAGGACATGAGTTCAATTCCTATCTCAAGGAATTTGAGATTCAAAAGATCCATTCTACCCATTATTTTGCTCAAGCCAATGGACAGGCTGAAGCCACTAACAAGGTAATCTCTAAAATGATTGCTAAAATGGTGGATGGAAATCCTAAGAATTGGCACGTTCTTCTACACTATGCTACTTGGGCATATAGAACATCAAAGATAGATGCAATTGGAACTATCCTCTACTAGTTGGTGTACGGGCATGAGCTAGTTGTACCATCGGAGTTAAGTGCTATGTCTGCCAGGATAGCCAAACAAATTAAATGGACATAAGCCAAGAAGATTATCAACAATTTGTGTCTATTTAATTAATGGATATCGAAGGTGAAACACTTCAAGCGCTGGCGAAGATCGAAGCTCAGAAAAAACAAGTAGCGAAGTCTTATAATAAAAAGATGAAACATAAAATCTTTTTAGAAGGAGACTAGGTGTGGAAGATGAAACTTCCTAAGCATGACTATAAAGATTACATATTTGGTAAATGGTCTTCTAAATGGGATGGTCCGTTCAGAGTTCATGAACTCATGTCCGGGAATGCCTATTTGTTGTAAGAATTAGATGGAGAAATGGTTCCAAGAGCGCTTAATCGAAAGTTTATGAAACAGTAAAACCCAAGTATTTGGGAACAATATAAAGTTTTACAACAAAGCATCCATCATTGGAAGCTTTTGACAAATGAAACTCATAAATGTATTGTTTACAAACGAAGCGATTCCTTAACTACAGCCTTGCGCTTGACCTGATCTAACAAAGCCTAACACTTGTTCATCATAGCCATTTGATTACCATGGTGATCAAACTAAGACAAAGATTCCTACACTAATGAAGCACTCTCATATATTTGGCACTTGTAGACACATGATTGTGTTTCCCAAAACACCAAACCCAGTGATGAGTGCCTTTTGTGTTTTGATTGACGAGCTTGGCAAAGAGTTGAAGAATCGCGAGAAGTTTCCTTAAGCCTTGACCATCTTTATAACCTTAACCGAAATGCCTTTAAACCTAGAAGCATTCATTTCGCGTCCTTAAACCCAAAAACATTCATTTCATGTCCTTAAATCCGAAAACATTCATTTTGTGTACTTAAAAAACATTTATTTCGTGCCCAAATTATAAAAACGTCCAACCTGATTATTTTGGTCCATTTTCACAATCCAATTATTGTTTGGTTGGATAGGGCTTGAAAAGAGTTTTCCAACTATATAATATAAGCCCAATTCGACTTAAAACAAATGAGATATGCCCAAGATACTAAACCGAACCCAAACCGAGCCTAGGTCCACCTTTAATACAACCCAATGATTATATGGAGTCCAAATATTTTATTTAGGCCCCATATGATCATATTCTAATCCTAAACCAGCTAGGAACTTCTAGAATCTTCTAGAAGATTCTAATCTATCCTTCCTAAAAAGATAAAGATCAAGAGTTTGAGATTGAATAGAATTCTTATGATAATCCTTAATTTTTCAGAAGACGTTCGGATACATTTTGTGAAAATAAACCATTAGAAACCAAACTCCTTTTGAAATTTTCTATCTTTAGAAGCATCGCGCCGCGTCAACCCTGTCGCGACGTAACAAGGGTCATCGCGCCATGACAAGCCTGTTGCGACGCGATAGAGAGTTCATCTTAGTCAGATTTTCTGATCTTTTTCAGATCGTTCGACTCTCTTTTATCCTTAATAATAGATTCGTTTTCCTCAATTCGAAAAAAACAAGGATCAATAACCAACATCATCAACAATAATCAATAACCCACAAGAAGAATTCGAGAGAGAATTCATATTCCCATGTTTTTAGCCTAAACACATCCAAGATACATCCCAATCATACACAATACTTCCTTTGCGTGATTTGAATACTCCAAACCATACTCGACGTTGTCTTCAACCTCGACGTGAAAGCTTGATATTTCAAAGGGTTTGGACCTAAATCTATATTTCTATTCCTAATTAATTTAGTTTATTATTTACTTCATTGATTTTACTTTCTTAAAGTTTACTAACGTGTGTATTATTTTTTAGCAAGAAGGTCGAAGCATCAAAGTAAGTAATTTAATTACTTTCTTGAATAGAAATCATGTTTAGGATAACGTATTGATTTTGTTATTAGTAACATGCTAGGGTTGCTATTAATCTGTTTAGTATCATGCCTAGGATCTTGCTACTAACGATGTCTTGTGATGATGATTATGATGTTAATTATATGTTGCTTGATTATCAATGATTTGTTGCTATTACTTGATCACGCCCCTTTTTGCAGGTTTAAATAGATTTAGAATTAATTTGATGTATGCATGTTTATCGAAAAGCGCGCATGAATATCAATAAGGATCAAGTAGCAGCCTATTTAGGGTGGGTTTGACCTCTTTAAGGTTAAGTTTGTACAATCATCCCCGAACATCCATTCATGGTTCCAAACCACTATGGAGTTAGCAATCTCTGTGATTGTGAATGAGGTGTAACCTTCAAAATCGTGAACGATTTACAAGTTCCTATAACTTGTTGGCGACTCTTTTTCTCTAGTTTTTTTTCCTTGGATCGCTGACATGCCTAAAAACATGACCCACATGTAGGGCGGAGATGAAAACTTCCCTACATTTTTTGGCGACTCTGCTGGGGACGATTTCTAATTAATTCCTAATTTGTTTGGAAATTAATAAGAATGAGTGGGTGAGACATGAAAGATACTTGATGTTCACGCGTGTAATTTTGATTAACATTGTGGCATAAGCCTATAAAGGAACGCATTGGAAAGACCATCTGTAATGCGTCAAAACATAGGAATACACATAGTAAAGGCTGGAAATACTTTTCACAACTAAAATCAGGAAGACGCTGCGAAAATCGGAAAATATATCGAAGATCAAGTCTACCGCAGAGCGCCAGAACTGTCGCGAGGCGACAGCGGTAAACGCCAGATGACAGCCCCATCGCATCGCGACAAGGTTGTCGCCGGTCGATGAACACTGCCGTCCAGCGACAAGATCTGGAAATTTTACGCCAGTCCTCTGTCGTTGCGTTTGGCCCGATTCTAGTATTGTCTCGACAATTTTACTTCCTGATTAAGTTTTTCTACCTTTCTGAACCCATATGTGTTTTACATGTAGTTTTAGCCCCTGGGAATTCACGCTCCATCGACCCTAATAAACGCTCCGTGCAAAAAGGGTTCATCTGAGTTTTTTGAATTCACCAAACCATGGAGTCGAGGTTAACTCGTGGGGTCCCGTCTATTGCACCAACCCTTCTAAGGTAAGGCTTCCGTGCGATGCATCCAGACTCTTAACCATGGACCTTCTTGGACACCAAAATCCTTAACCCTTAGAAAACTAGAGCCATGGTTAGGTTGCAAACTCATTGCATCATGTTGTGACTACTTGACTACTTGTGCATACCTTCTTTATGTTTAAACTAACCCTTTGTTTTGACTTGTTTCTTGTATATATGTCTATTTATGACCTGTAAATACTAACCCAAAGCTAAAAGGACTTTGCTTAATTAATTTGGTTGATTAAAATGAACCCATAAAATATGAATATGCTCGACCTAAAAGACTTTAGGCCTAAACCTTCAAAAGAACGACTGAAAACGGATCGTTGTGGTGCATCAATATTGGCGCGTCACTCCGGATTTGTGACGCATGGTGATGGGAATCATCACGTCGCGACAAGCTTTTCGTTTCACGATGGAACCATCGTCCCACGACAGTCCCATCGCCACGATTAACCAGTTTAATGTCAGTATACAGTCTTTCCTTGATCCTGTATGACTCTAACCACGTATCTAGTCACTTGGTCATGACGCGAGTCTTGTAAATATCACTTACACCCACAAGTCTTCACACACACCTTATCTACCATGGCCATGTCGTAGATCCATGCATGAGTCATCTTTTCTGTCATTGAGTTGAGGGTTTGTCCTATTCCTGGAAATTTCCATGACCTTCCACAAATACATCCTTTCCACATTCACATACTTTCCCTATACACATATACCTTCCTGCATACTTTCCTCCTTCATGCTTTCCCCATACATATCATTCCCCTCATACACTATGCTCTTTCCTCATATGTGCATGTTGAATCGAGTTTGAGTCATGTGATTGAGAAGATACGTCCATGGTTTCCTTTTTTTACAGCGTTTGGTCAAGGAAACAGGGTCGATTAGTTCGAGACAACTCCTACATTCAAGAGATCTTCTTCAAAAGCACGGTTTGAAGGAAGAAGAAACAACCAATGGCGACCACTAAGGAAGACATTGAATCTCTCTAAAAATCCATGGATACTCTTGTCGTGCTTGTTAAGAGGCTCTCCACTCGAGTGGAGAAATTTGAAAATACCGATGTATAAGTTCCACCTGAGACTATCAAGCGCATCCAAGAGAAGCTAAGCCAAGTTTCCAATGACTATAAGTATCTTGATATGAGTACTGAGGGAATCTCACTAGATAAGGAACTTCTTTCGAACAAGTTCTCTACCACTGACATTCCTAAGTTCAAGCCCACAGATAACCCTTACTTTCACTTAAGAGCTTTCAAAATAGTTATGGAAATCAAAGGGATTGACAAGCAACTCTTCCCTTCGATTTTCTCTCTTTCATTGGAACCAGATGCCAACAATGGTTCTTTTCCGTTGACTCCAAGGAAACTGCTACTTGGGAGAATATTGTACCTACTTTCATCAAGAGATACAAGTGCAACGTACAAGTAGAGAGTGATCATAGGGAACTTGAATTATGAAGCAAAAGGACAATGAAGGCTTCACCGAATTCTATACTAGGTGGAAGGAAGCTTCTGCTAAGATGATTAAGGCCCTAGACGAAAAGACTCTGTGCGAATGTTCATCAAAAACCTTCAAGACAAGTATCAAAAGCACTTAAGGTTCTTAGGGCTGACTACTTTCAGGATAGTCTATGACATAGATATTGACATTGAAGATGAGCTCTTGAAGGCTAGGACTAGTAACAATGGAAACAATGGCAAGAACAAGAAGAACGACAATCCTTCTTCCTCTTCTTCCCATCAAAATGTCAACTGCATTAATAATGTCAATGCCGATGAAATTTGGGCCCTTGACATGGATACCTCAAAAACCAAGAAACCCAAAAGGGAGTTCACACCTATTGGAATATCCTATGATGTTGCTTTCGATCGTCTCTACGATCGGGGCTTAATCAAGACCATTGGCCC